AAACGTGTTTGTTTTGTTTAATACATGTTGAAATGTCCACTCATTTTTTTTGACAAAATCCTCCGTTTACCAAACACTTACCCGGTAAGCGTTTATCGGTAAATTTAACACTTTCATTTACTTACTGGATAAGATTCTAGTCCACCAAAGCGTATCGTATGCAACAATTTACCCTGTAAGCACTTACCGTGGTAAGAGTTGCCGCCTTCACTTACCGGGTAAGAAAGATTCTTGGTCTCTGTCTCGTTCTTACAGGGTAAGATTCTTGATCCTTACCATATTCATCCGGTAAAGTAAAATAACTTGGTGTTCACTTACCCGAGTATGCGTTTGGTAAACGGTCTCTTACTTTTTTGTTTCCCTAACATTGTTCGATATATAAATCGTTATCGATGAATTATTTGTGTTAAAATTATTATATACAGATAATATTTTAAACCCGTCGACATAAACATTCAGATACTATCAAATATTTAATATGTATTTTTTTTCGTACTCTTCGCCTCTTCGGTCCCTCTTTTCGTCTATTTACGTCAAGTTTTTGAAAAATGTGATGTTACGTCTTTGTCATCATTCGCATACTCCCAAAAAAAAAAGAGTAGACCCCCGCTAAAGACGAAAGTGAAATACAATAACACCATTTTTGTCCACTGCCCTTCTCACGGAGCTATACGTGGATATTGGTATTTTATACTGTCATGCAGTGAAGCTTACACTTGTTCAGTGATTATGATGGTTCATTGATTCACCCACACTTCCGTTCCTTATAGAGGAAGGCTAATCGCTTGCTGGTTGTGAGTTGTATGCGCAGTAACATCCTTGTATGGCTCCGTGAGGAGGGTGGTGGACGGAAATGGCCTGATTATACTTCACTCTCGTCTTTAACGGGGTCTAGTCTTTCTTCCTACCGTTCAAAGTTCATTTATTTCTACTGGTTCTTACATAAGCAATTTGTAAAAATAAACAAAGTCTTTCCTTCCTGAGTCCAACGTCGTGCCAGAAGGCGTACCAACACGAGATATCGAACATAGCCCTAGGGCGGAGCCAGTAAATCAATACAAACGGAAGCGAAAAGTAATATAAGAAAAACAACGGTTTCATTATTGACAAGATCGTTTTAAAGAATATCTTTTTCTATTAAAGACTAAAGGAGTGAAAGGGATATAGGCTTTTTTATTTTCTAATAATTACTATTATATATTAGAAGGGTACTATTATATATTAGAAGGGTACTCGTACAATGTACCGAGATACATCTTGATTTTAATATTTCATTTTATTTTTTTTATCTCAATCGATGTTATAATATGATCTTATGTGATTTTGAAAAAACGATCATTTGTCAATTGGAGTTTTATACATGCTTTGCATCCACACCGTTTAAGGTTCACCTCTTGTTCATATATGTTTCTAGTCTTATGTGGTTGTTCATCCCTTGTTCAAATCTTATAAAATACATGAACACATAACTCCGATGCTATGAACACCGGGTGCAAACACTTACACAAATATAAAGATTTTGTATCAAGCTTAAAAAATAACACTTGTGTTCATATGATAGAAGTAACATGAACACAATGATTCATGATTCATAAAAGTCGATAATATGACAATATGAAAATGGGTCGTGCATGTACTTCCATTTGAACATATGAATTAGGTACGTATTAATAATTAAAGAAAAAAGTTATCAACGGCAATATGAACAACAAAAAACACAACACATCATAATGAATATAATTTCGATTAAAACGAGTTTAATAAAATATTAATCCATTACCAAGACATTSGCTTTGGTTAATTTCTTCACTTCCAGAACTCGAACTCCGATTGTCACCATAAACCATTTTTATCTTCTCAATGTTGTCGATTTTTTTTTCTAATGCGTTTATCCATAATAGTTTGAACGATATCGAAGATTTTACTATCATGTTTCCTCCACGAATCAAAAACTTATAAAACAATAAAAATGGAAGATCAAGATTAAAATATAAATAAAAATATTAATATTATAAATGTATATTTTTAGGAATTTTATGATTTTGCAACTCCCCTTTAATGGTATGGAAGTTACATAACAAATGAAATTACTCAATTAACTTTGGCATCAAATTGTGAACATGATAAAAACCTAATAGAAGAATAAATTGTGATTGACTGACATGGTTTGCAAAATTAATACAAAAACTTTAGTTAACATTTGATCTTGTTCCCTATATATATAAATATCGGGTTGCGATTATAGGGAGGGCCGGAGGGGGGCTTGGCATCATCTTGTCCCTCATTGTCTACTAGAGATGGCCAAATCGGCCCGGCCCGGCCCGGGACCGCCGGAGGACCGGGACCGGGACCGACAAAGGACCGGCCCGGGACCGGTAAAGACCGGTTATGGGACCGAAAACTGGGACCGGTTGTAATGGATTTCATTTGAAACAAACACACACACACACACACTCTCTCTCTCTATATATATCTATCTATATCTATATATATATATATAGAGAGAGAGAGAGAGAGAGATGAGCGATCAAATAAAAACCACTTCAATTTGTAAAAACCGTAAAAACTACTCTCATTCGTCGATTTCATTGTTTAATCTTATGAAATTGTTTCATATAATACTTTTTTTGATGAAGTTGTTTCATATATGGTTATGAAATTGTTTCATATACTACTTAATGAAATTGTTTCATATACTACTTAATGAAATTGTTTCATATATTTCTCTAAAATTAATGAAACTGTTTCATGTATTTCTCTAAAATTAAAATAATGAAGATGATAATATCCATGATTAACATCATCCACAATAAAAATGATTAATCAACCTCTCATAATTACAAAAAAATGAACAAAATGAAAAATTATGATTAGTTGAATGAAGTTTGTATGGTTTGTACAAATTAGGTGGTTTTTATTTGAATGCTCCCCTATATATATATATATATATATATATATATATATATATATATATATATATAAGAAGAGCTTACCGTCTTATATCATGCATTAAAATCGCACCAATCATAACATTGAATAAATGAGTGGTGTGTATACAAGAAGTTGTCAACCCCATTATCGATGGCCATCATTTTTATATAAAATGTAGCAATCTCACATAATTTTATGGCATTGACTTTTTGATAGCATTGTGGAAATTTACCATAAAAAAGGGTCTCTCATATCCCCTACATATTTTTTTCTAAAAATATCGACACATCTGTAAAACAACATGTGGTCATAACATTTGGCCCAAATCGGGGCCCATTGCTTCTCTTCGTAATCGAGGCTCGGTTTTCAACCATGTCTACTTTCATTTAATATACGTTTTTGTCTTAATTCGGCCAAGTCAATGAAATATATAATATAGTTATATACTTTTAACAATATATTAGATGCAAGTAGATATTTTGTAGAGAAATATGTGAGAGATATGAGTAACCCAACCCCAGATGCTCTCAAACCGATGACCCTTTAATGGGCTTGTCTGACCCAAAGACAGAACTTGTTCTCGAGATCTCCCATCGAGACTCATCTTTGCCAAGACAAATTGTGTCTTGGTGAGACCTTAGGCAGGTCCTATCCAAACGTACATACTAGTTCGAGCTGATCCATGAATCATCAGGGACGATCTAACCCTACCTAGACTGGCTTTTGATCACGTCGAGCAAATCCATGGACAAACTAGTCGTACCTAGACTGGTTCTTTACTAGCTTCAATAAGTCTATGGACAAACTAGTCCTACTTAGGCTGGTTCTTGAGTAGCTTGAGTCAACCTATGAACCACCATGGACAAACTAGTCCTACCTAGACTAGTTCTTGACTCGCTCGAGTTAGTCCATGAACCACCATGGACAAACTAGTCCTACCTAGACTGGTTCTTGACTCGCTTGAGTCAATCCGTGAACCACCATGACAAACTAGTCATACCCAGACCAGTTCTTGACAAGCTCGAGCCGGTCCATGATCCACTGTGGACACACTAGTCCTACCAAGGCCGGTTCTTGACTAGCTCAAGCCTATCCAAAAACCACCAGGAACAAACTAGTCCTATCTAAACCAATTCTTGACTAGCTCAAGTCAGTTCATGAACCACCAAAGACAAATTAGTTTGTCCTAGATCGATTCTTAACCAGCATGTGTAGTCCTATCTAAACCAGTTCTTGACTAGCTCAACCCGGTTGAACCGTCAATGAGAAACTAGTCCTACCCAGGCCTGTTTTTTACTAGCTCGAGACAGTCCATAAACCACAACAAACTAGTCCTACCCAAACTGGTTCTTGACTAGCTTGAGCCAATCCATGAACCACCATGACAAACTAGTCATATCTAGACCCGTTCTTGACAAGCTCGAGCCGGTCCATGATCCACTATGGACACACTAGTCCTACCAAGCTCGGTTCTTGACTAGCTCAGGCCTATCCACAAACCACCATAGACAAAATTCGGACATGTTCCATGGTAGGATGACAGAGCTTTTACACCCTTCTAGTCAGGGGCGGATCTATTGCATGGTGGTAGGGGTCCTAGACCTCAACAAACCCACCAATTTTTAAAAAAAATGCTATAAAAAAATTTGTTTTGTAAATTTTCCTATTGTGCAACCAACAAGAACAAGGCGGTCTAGGGTTCAAATCTCACCAAAGGTAAGGAGGGTGCGTGAATTTATTTGTTATATTTTGTTGTATATAGATATTATATACTTCAAAAAAAAACAAGGCAAGGGCCCCCAACTTGATATATTGATTGTTAATTGGTCCATTTACAGCACACAATGATATTTTCGTTCGAAATATAAAATATTAAAATTATACACCTCAATTCAATAAATGAGCTAATCGGTCACGAGTAGAAGCCCGTAAACAAACATCTGAGCTCGGTAAATAAAAAAATATATGAGCCGTAAATGGACCAAACATCGAGCCCGTAAACTATAAAAGTTTCTGGATCTGCCACTGGTTCCGACAGCAAGCAAATAAGAAACGAAAGAAGCCACTAAAGAGCATCAAACCGAAGCATATATAAATACCAAAATTAATCGATCTCTAAAACCGCTGTCCACATACAGATTTCAGATACTCGCAAACGCTTACAACTTTCCCAAAATAACCCTCTTCCTCAATAATAAATCTCAGACAAAAAACGCCATTTTCAGCCACCAAATCTATACAAACACTTAAAATTACATTTAAACCCTTTTCCCCGCGTATACCCACCACCGTCTCGAAAAAACTATCACCAACACGAACAATTTACGCACTTGCACGAACACGCCAAGCATCCGCATCTCAAACAAGAAGCGCATTTAGATAATTTCACATCTGGGCATTTTGGTAACTTCACATTTGGGCATCTCGGTAACTTCACATTTGGGCATTTTGGTAACTTCACATTTGGGCATTTCGGTAACTTCACATTTGGGCATTTTGGTAACTTCACATTTGGGCATTTCGGTAACTTCACATTTGGGCATTTTGGTAACTTCACATTTGGGCATTTCGGTAGCTTCATTGTCCAGCAACACCCACATTTCCAGTTTAGAAAACAGCAGCTAGGTTTGCAACATTCTGGGCAGCTCGGGCAGCGAGGTCTTGGACATTTCAAGCAGTCGGGCAGCCTGGGTTTTATACAACAGCAGCTGCGTGTATCGGGGTTTGACTTTTTGGGTATGCGCAGAGTTGACTTGATTTTTGTGAGTCGGGTTTTGGTGGTGATGGTTTCCATTTCGTAGATGAACCGACAAAGATGGCGGATGTAGTCCGGATACAGTTCTAAGTTGCAATGGCCGCCACCTTTTATCCATAACGGTTCATACGGGTCCTTAGCCATTTTCCATAGTCCGTTACCATGTAACCAATTCACCACATCATCTTCGGTGCCCTGACATTTGTTTCGTCAAAAAACCCAAGGACCGGATCAAGATTCAAGATCTCAAACAAGACAAGATTGTAACGATTAGACTGTGACAAGACAAGACTGAGTGGGACAAAAATGCATTTTCTCTGTCGCACCAAAATAGTTGGAACAAAAATCAGAGAGACCAGACAAACTTGGTAAATTGCTAAACTACCCATGTCAAATTAAAGCAATAGCATACATTCGGAAAGTCGACGCATACAAAAAGTATCATCGTAAAATCTTAATGCATTAAAGAGAGGAACTTACGTGTATGACAAGCGTCGGGCACTTGACCTTCCGAATTTTGTTCACATTCTGCAATTGTCAAAATCTTTAAGTCGTCAAGAATTTGCAAAACAATGAAATCGATTCCATTGCTTTCAGACCAAAAGCTTCCACCAATTTGTCATTATTGGATGCTATTTCAGACATTTTACTAAAGGGCCGTTTACTAAACGCTTACCCGGTAAGTACTTACAGGGTAATTTTCCTCACCGGATGAATATGGCAAGAGCCAAGAATCTTACCCGGTAAGAGCGATAATAAAGATGGAGAGTCTTACCCGGTAAGTGAGGGTGACGACTCTTACCTAGGTAAGCGCTTGCCAGGTAAATTGTTGCATATGATACGTTTTGATGTACTACAATCTTACCCAATAAATAAATTATAATGTTGACTCTTAACGTTAAGCATTTAGGTAAACGGCCCCTAAGACCATGTTTGGTGACCATAAGGTAACTTCTTTGAGCTTATTGAAAAAGTGATGTTTCGTTAGCGATAAGCTCGTTTTTTCGAAGTTACTTCAAGTAGCATTTCTATAAGCTCCAGGGTTTTTTTCGCTTTTTTCCAATTATCCCCGCTTTATATTTAACATAAATGACCAAAAACCCAAGCCTTTTAGGTCATTTTACATCGTCATCTAGCTTATCAGCTAATTTTTACCAAACATGACTAGTTTATCATCTAGTTTTTACCAAATATGACTAGTTTATCAGCTAGTTTGCCAAACATAACCTATCAGCTAAACACTAAACGTTGCAATTTTGATGGAACATAGATGGTGGAAGAAACGACCGTACCAAAATAAATGTCCACAAGGAGAAGGCACAAAGCATTAGAAAAGTGTAATTCTTACACTTTTTAATTAACTAAATGACAATTTTACCATGAATAATACATAGTGTAATGAATTTCTCCATCTCATAGTCAAAGGTAAACTTGGAAAGTAGGCACTTATTTTGGCACTGAGAGAGTGCTCAGCTTTCTGTAAACTCACATATGAACAAAATCAGTAAAGATGGGAGGAATTGTTCACCTTGTAGATATCGAAGCAAAGTGTACACTTCACGTGACACACGACACGAAGGCCCGAAAGAATGGCACTATGAAGAACTACACCTCTTAACCTCGGCAGCCGAGCCGCCAAATGCAGTGTGGGCCCACTCCCGACCGACTGTCCGTACAAAATTAAGTCTTCCTGACTAACTCCATATTCGGTCTGAAGACACTCGTAAACTGCCTCTATGTCTGCATACGTATTAAGCTCACTTGGCTGAAAAATAAAAACAGATAATCGGAAATATTTCAATATTTAAAGATTATCACGTAATTAGCATTTCAAACTACTATAATTTGACACTTCATTCCTAAACAACTAAGGTGCCGTTTACCAAACGTTTACCCGGGTAAGGCTTACCAAGTCACTTTACTTTAACGGATGAATATAGCAAGGGCTAATAATCTTACCCATAAAATAGTCTATTAGGACATTTAGTCGTATTTTACGTCCTGTAAAGCCAATTTTGTTGTAGTGCTCTTTGAATCTCTCTAAAAGAGTTCTTATACCGAGAGTGTAGGTTCCACATATATAGACATATATATATATATATATATATATAGACTTGGGATCATGTGAGACCAAGGGTTTTTCGTGAGACCCGCAAGACCAATTCTCAACTTTTGGATTAGATCTACAATCTCAACATTCATAATCACAAAATTGCCACAAGACACCTCAATAATCACAAAGTTGTCACCATGCAACTTTAGACCATTAGAACATTAGTAATAAAGTTGATCAATGAACATAAATTGGTCTTACGAGTCTCACGAAAAACCCTTGGTCTCACGTGAACCCAACCCTATATATATATATATATATATATATATATATATATATATACACGGATAGAAATAGAAAAATCCATTTCTTTTTAATGGAAATAAGATAAGGACGGGGATCGTGATGATTGAGATCGTGTAATAGATCTCCTCGAGGCAACGGTTTGCATGCAAGATTTTACCCTTTTTTGCTCGTACAACCTTAAACCAGTATGTGATCAAAGTGGCTTTCCAAAGCAAAATATGCCGAATCTAAGCCAACAACCAACTTTACGGGTTAAAGCAAAAAGTACCCAAAAAGACCAACTCATCATCAACGAAACCCTCCGTTCAATAATTCCATACTCCATGACATCATAATTGGTATTTAATTTGCTATATGTTCATACAAACCTTTTATCGTCTAAGTTTTCTTGAAATCAAGAAAACGACACTACAATAAATCGACTTTATAAGACGCCAAAATTGTTCAAGTGTCTTAATAGACTACTGTATCGAACTCAAGTTTGTAGGACCAGCCATTTGTGTGTTCTATCTAAATGTGTTGTAATAAGTATACAGGACGCTTTTGGGGTCTTAACAAGGTTTTTAGAACAATTTTGAAACAAAGTGTGCTGTTAGCCCTTTTATAGGATACTTTTAAGAAGTGTTCTATAAACACGCGTACACTTGTTTTATAAGACACTTTTTTTCAAATAGTGTCCTATAAAAGGCTAATACGACACTTTGTTTCAAAAGTGTCCTAAAAAGCTTATTAAGACGCCTAAAAGTGTCATATAAACTTATTACAACACCTTTAGATAGGACACACAAGTGTTTGGTTTTATAAACTTAAGTCCTATAAGGTAGTAGTCTACTAGGACACTTGCACATTTTTTGTGCCTATAAACCCAATTTTTTTTTTGATTAATCTGGATATCCAACCCGCTATGCGAGCTGACTAATCCCAGGGCGACAACCTGCTTTGCAGATAGCCCGGAGTCACTGCATTTGAACCTCCGTGGCCACAAGGGGATTTTTATTCCTGGGACCTCCCGGTACTTTTGACCTTTGGAGCCAAGCTCAAACCAATCAGGCACCACCCTTGTGGTGTCTATGAACCCAATTTTGTTGTAGTGCCAGACTGCCAGTATCGGTTTTTGAAGTTGGAAAATGCACATTTTGGCTTTCGCAAGCCAAAATTGCAAAAAAAACCATGCTTTTCAATTATTTCAACTGTTTTTGCATATCGAAACTCAAAAGCAAACGTTGCAAATTTCAACGGGTTTACCTTGCCCGTAGAAGCACCGTAGCCCGAGTAATCATATCTGTCCAAGAAAACGAGAACACGAATAAACATCAATCATTAAATCACACCTTTGAATGGGGAAAAAAGAAGAAACCAAATTGAAATCTGATACCCACAAATTGATTCTTAGTTGTTAACTTTTGATTATTAAGGTGTACCTTATTTGTCAATCATTAAATTAAGCCCATTAAGACTTTCTAAAAAGCCAGATTTTTAGGAAGTGAATTACTACTGTATATGAAATGACTAAAGAAGAAGTAAATTTTAATGAACAAGATAAATGTGAAAAAGAAATAATACAGAAAAAATTCACTGTTTCATGTTTGGTGCGACATGGGACAAGATAGAAATTCACTGTTTCACGTTTGGCGTGACATGGGACAAGACAAGAGCCTACTGTTCCGCGTGCGACGCAACAAAAAAGGCGCAGGGTGGACCTTTTTGTCCCACCAAAATAGGTGTAACAAGATGGGACAAAACAGAAGTAAAAGAATTACCACTCTACCCTCGTTTGATATAACCCTGATATGATATTTGGCTTAATGGTCACCAGCGATGGTCGCTGCGACCACCACCGCTGGCGGCAGCCACAGCCGACCACCTCAAAAAATGGAATAATACAGAGAAAAAAAACAGAATATTTGGAAATTTGATGACCCATTTGGCAGGGTAGCACACTGCACAAAAACCACTATCTCTATCAAAATTCATCAGAAATTTATTGGGTTTTTGTTCCTTGTTAGGTAATTGCTCAGTAAAAACTGTTCACTTTTGCAGGCCAAAAATGAAAGCTGTAAAAAATGTGAAATTTTGAAAAAAACCTTTCCCTTTTTAACTTCACTTTTCTTTCTGTATTCTCCACAAGATGCAATTTAACTCAGCCAAGAACTATACAGTAAAAAAAAATTCAAGATTTTCAAGGGTAATTTCTTGGAATTTTTTACTGATTTACAGCTAGCAGATGCCATAAGATCTTGAAAGAAAGCTTGAAATTTTTAGCAAAACAAACCTTAAATTCATTGAACTTTTGAACACAGAAAGATACACATAACCTAGAGAGATAAGAAAAGGTAAAAACTTTGGCAGAAAAAAGGGGGGAAGTGTGCAATTTTCACCAATCCCTCGTGGGAGAAGGACGTTTCATACCAACCATTTAATGCATTTATCTCGATGCAAATCCAAAGGAATTGAAGTAAAAACAAAACCCATCACATCAAGCAACATAACAAGCTTAATAACATCAAGAACATGAACCCTAGATAGAGAAAATTCGAACAAAATGCACCAAGAATTTGGAGTAAAGTGAAACCCATAAAGAAACACACACAAAAGAAATGGGTAATAAGAAATAGAAACAAAGATAACACATTCATGAATAAAGATTGATATATTTAGTCAAAAACGATTCAAAATAGAAAAAAAAGAAATGGGTAATAAGAAATTGAGAGATTAAAGAAACGAACCCCATGAGATTGACTCTGAGATTAGCTTTGAGTTGAACAAAGAGGTCAAAAAGTTGACCCAAATCAGCAGCATTGCCATGAGAATAGAGTAAGGTGAGCCTTGCATATGGGTTTTTAAGATAAAAAGCTACGATCTTGTTGCCTCTTTTGGTGTTTATTGACAACACATCAAGTGAACAGCCGGCACCACCACCACCTCCGTCGTCAAGACCGCCGCCGGTGAGGGGGATGGAGGAAGATGAATAGACAGCAATTGGCTTGCCATCATCACGTTTCTTGATCTGATAAGTTGGGGGCGATGGAGGAAAGAAGGCGAATTTGGCAGCGAGATGAGAGATGAGACAACCCATTCACCTTCACCCCCAATAAGATACTTGGTCCAAACCCAACTCATGAATGCATGTCCTTATCTACACATCCATAATTTTTAAGCTATTTCACATGGGTTTTTGGAAAAATGGATAAATCTATTCGGGTTTTTAAAAGGGTTTTTGGAATGGAGAAACAGAGATGTAAGTCGGGTACCCTTTTTTTGGATAAAGATTTTCACAACTTACAAGGTGGAGAGAGAAGAGGACGGGGGGAGGAGGAGAAACTTTCCGGTGAGTAGGGTGGCGGAGGGAGAGAGACAGTGGTGGTGGTGGTGGTGGTGGTGGTGGTGGGGACAGAATATAAGATGAAAGAACTTATTGAGGTTTGATGATTCATTGCTTGACAGTAGGGAACTCCCATGCTTTAGTTTAGCATTTAGCAGCAGCCTACAATGAAACGGCAGCGTTTCAGGCGGTACTCCCCCCTACAGTGCAATATCAGCTTGTACTATAATGTACAACTTCTTTACTCCCATAGTTTAGGTTTGGGAAACTTGAGTTTCAAATAAGTTGATTCTCAATAGCGTCTTAATGAGAGTAGTAGTAAATCAGACGCCAATAAGCTCCATGTCTTTCCACATGATCGTTTCGATAACATCTCAATGCATTATCGATGGTTGTTATGTGAGCAATTTCTCCGTTCAACGTGCTTTCATTTATGATTACATTAAAAACCTCGTTAATGATAACATTTTCTATATCTGTTTCGTCCAACTCAAGTTAAGACATGTTAACTTATTCATTGCAACCTCCTTTAAGAAAAGACATGTTCGGAGGAAAATATGGATATTCCCTAACTTAATATTCATACTTGTAATAACAACATGGACTGTAGTAATCTCTCGATGTTTGCATCTCTGTGTTTTCGTATCAGATTGGGAGGTACTTGGTGAAGGCACTGTAACTGCGTTTTTTCTGTTGTCTACCTTCTACTGAATATTCATCGTTATGGAGCACATATTGAACACTATCGAGCATCATACAAAACATGTAATAAAAAGTATCAAACGAATAAAACCCTAAGAATGAGATAACGAGATATGGATAAGCACAAAACTTGTAGCGGGAGGCGATGTGAAAGCATCGATGAGATGCGAACAAAACTTGAGAGGTTTCAACGGAGGGGTTTGGAAGTTCGAACATTTGGAGCGAGAAACGTAACAGAGAGATAGGGGAAGTCGTGAGAGGAAACGTCCAAGAGAAGTTAAGGAGAAATAATTTCAACAGAGATCGTATCGAATCAATATTATCGAGAATACATAGAACTCGTTAAGAAAAAAAAATTGAACAATTGACAAAAGTAAGCACAAAAGTTCATGGCGGGCTACCTTATAAGCCTATAAAACATCAAGGAGCTATCAAGAATGCGTCTGGGCTATCAAGAAATGCAACACAGAAGTTCAGGTGGGTCCCATTAATCGTACTTCGTATGTTAGCAACAAGGGTATTTTGGGAATAACTAGAAGTTAAGCATATTTTTCGGATTGATGGTAACATTAGGCATACTTCTACTATTTGGAGCAACGTTAGTAAGCAGAAAATTTAGTACAAATTCTGTAACAAATAATAAAAGGGTTATAATAATTTTCGTTAAATTTTCTAAAAGACAAGATAGACGCATAAAATAAACCCTAGACTTCTTTTTGCTATCAAATCATGGTATTACCGTGAATTTTTTGTTTTTGATCTGAACAAAGAATCATCATCTGAAGACAACGGGATCATGTGTTAAACCACAACAAAAGTCAAACGGACAATTAATGCCTTACATATAATACTTATGTTTTGATGGTATTTTCAAGATCACAGGTTAAACCAAAACAAAAGTCGAATGAACAATCAACGCCTTACATATTTATTTTTTTGGAAGTTTTGCTTCCCCCGTTCTGTTAATTGTCAATCTTGTTATCACCTTATTGAATAGTAAGAAGCTTCATATATCTCAACCCTCGTTATTCTTCGACAAGGGCTTTCAAAAGTACCTGGAGGTCTTAGGTTCAAATCCAATGAGGAATAAAAATCCCCTTGTGGCCACGGAGGTTCAAATGCGGTGACTCCGGACTATCTGCAAAGCAGGTGGTTGCACTGGGATTAGTCGGCTCGCTTAGCAGATTGGATATACAGGTTAATCAACAAAAAAAAGAGATAAAACTCTACTTTTGTTTGAAACCTTCCATCTTATGGAATGAATGTTCATAACGAAGCATCTGATGCAATCTTAAACCTACACATCTTGGTTTGGTGGTTTTTGTGTGATGAAGATTTGGTTAGTATAGTGATGATGATTGTGATATTGATGAGAAAAATGATCATAGAGAATGATATGATGATGTTTAAGGTTGTTATATGTGATAAGGCTGGTAGTTGGTTGACAATGAATTACTGATAGTGTTTTTAGTACTAAAAATTCGATATCAGTTATCGAAAAAGATCTGATTTTCACATGTGAGTTACTGCATGTCAAAAGCCTACAAGATATGATATATTCATAACATACGAAACGTACATAATATGATCTCTTTAAATACATATGCACAGTAGACAATGTGATATATGCAAATTCATAGCAACTCCACGCACAGCATATACAAAAATGTATATGGTCTTTTCAGTAATTATAACCAGTGGAATGTAGGTCTAAAATTTGTTACGGGATTACGAACACTTGTAACCCTCTAACCATATCACTCAAAAACAATATAATTCACAATTTGTTTAAGTTAAAAAGGGTGATATTATTTACAACTCATTTTATGTTAAAGTCAGATTAAAATTATATACTGAGAATATATAAAGTAAGTTATGATTTTGATGTGTGTAATAAGAAATTAATAGGTATGGATTTTTAGCAATATATAAGAGCATCCACTATGTGCAATATATGGGATACTAAATCCATGTCTATGTATCGACAATTTTTTTTCTTCATATACATCAATATCAAAACTTTTTTTTATATTTTTTTATATGATTTGATCTGATTTTGACATTAAATAAGTGTATACAGTATTTTTCAAATATATATATATATACTATCTTATAAATCAGATTTATCAAAAGTCTTAAAAACAATTTTTAATGCACAAAGTACTATACACTTATGTACAAAATATTAAAAGTCTTAAAACAACTCATAATGCATTAAGTACTACTATTTTATGCATTTACTCTTAAAATCTTTTAATCTACAATTAAAATATAGTACAAGTTACCAATGCACATTATTACATTTTCTAATCATGTTCTCAAGATACTTTTGACACCTTTCACTCATATCTTTACTCTCTCATACCTCTATGTCTTCTCCCCGTCTCCTAATGTGAGATTCAAACTGATATTCATCATGAGTTATTAAAAGTTCTCTCATTCAATTGCTCTAGAACTCTCGGTCTCGCTCTCTTGATCTCTTGATTCTTTGCTCTTTGTGTAAATCGAATACATTTGTGGAGTCGTTTAAATATGTTGAATTTTAAATATATTGGATTTTAAAGTGTCATACAATTTTTTTCATCGATAGCCTGTAATTAGAACCATAACTTCTCTTTATTCAAATTGTATTAATATGTAAAGACCAAGTGTAACTTACATCATCGTTAACCCTTCTCTAATAAAATTAGTGAAATTTCAAAATTGTTAAAATTTAAGGGTGGTGACTGATTGGTTTGAGCTTAGCTCCAAAGGTCTAAAGTACCGGGATGTCCCAAGTTCAAATCCAAGAAGGAATGAAAATTCTCTTGTAGACACGGATGTTTAAATACAATGACTCCGGACTATCTGCAAAACAGGTGGTCATACTGAAATTAGTCGACTCTCATAGCAAGTTGGATATCCAGGTTAATAAAAAAAAGTAATTATTATTGAGCAATTGAATAAAATAATTATAAAATCAAAGACACTCAAGTGGATAAGAAAGAAAAAAATTATGGCAACACAAACACGGTTGAAATTTGTGTTCTGTGGGCCACAATATGTATGAGGTGCCACGTCAGATTGCGTCAAAGCGTGAAGTTGATTTCCACTTTGACTTTTTTGTTCTATGTGGTGGGACCACCCTTCCACGTTTCAAAACATCATCGTACTCAACCCACCTCATCAATCTCTTTGTAGCTCATGATTTTAGAATAAACTACAAACACGTCCTTCAGGTTTATCAAAATATACAAAAATGGTCCTTATTTTGTAAAAACTATAAAAATAGTAAATATGGTATGCATTTTACTGTGAGGATGGTCCTTAAATTTAACGTCGTCAAAAAAATATCTGTTAAGTCCACCACCAATATGGGGCGAGCCTATTATGGTGCATACAGTGCCACATGCCATCTTCGTTCCTTCGTCGTAGTGTAAAAAATTTAAGATTTCGAAAGGTGTTACTGTATTATTTTGTTAGTGCAACTGTATATTTTCTTGAAACTACAATAATAACACAAGTTTCTCTTCACATAATTAGTTTGCTTAGCATTTCTTCCATGTCTGAATATTTTTGGGCAAAAGGATTCGAACACAAGACCTCACATATAAAAAAGCAAGAAACTAACCAATAAACCAACAGTTATTTTATAAAATTATCTGTAACTGTGTTTCTTACAGTTAAATGAAAATATATTCGTATTACTTTGAATTGTTTGGATCACTGTTAAACAATCCGTTTCGACAATCACATGTGGCCAATGGTTGGTATATATCCAACTTAATATTGTAGTTTCAAATTAGAATATGACTATCGTATTTATAAAAACGTTCATATTTGGTACTGACTCTAACAGTTGTTAAAAAGTATCTTTAGATGAAGGGTATTTTTGTCTTTTAACCTATCAAAACTGATTTTATGATTTGGTCCTATGGTTTTTCGATTGAGTAATTGACAGAAAAGGGTAAAAAAATACCTCTTATTTAACAGAACTTTTTAACGGTAGTAAAAGGAGAGACCAGATTCATATGTTTTTACAAATCATGATGATCATCTTGTAATTTCAAAACTGTAGTAATGAAAAGTGTTAATTTTTAACAAACTGTAGGAACCAAATTTATATTCAGAACAATTATTACAATAAAGTTGATTATGATGTTTCCTCTATTTATGCTAGTGATTAACAAAAAAAAGGTGTACGAATTATTTGACTTTAATGAGATTTAACGTTTAAAGTTGGAAAAAACACGATTTAAACAT